CTCTCTCTCTCTCTCTCTCTCTCTCTCTCTCTCTCTCTCTCTCACACACACACACACACACACACACACACACACACACACACACACACACACACATGCACGTTATTGGTAAGCAGTGCACTGTGTTGTAAATGCAGGATAGCCATCAAAGGCCCATCATCACAGAGGAAACGGGTTGCCATTCACGACATTTCAACCTCGCACCGCTTCAATTTGCCAATGCACGCCTGCTCCGTCGCCAGAAATCATAATAGGCATCATGCACAATGAGCATCCCACAATTGCCATGACCTATTTTGATTTTTTTAACCTTTTCTGTTCTCTATGAAAAAATATAAATGTAAGCTGTTGCACTGCACTTCGAAATCAACTATAGCATTTCTTGCTTCCTCTTCCCTTTCTCTATAAATTATGCAATGGATCTGGACCACTTCTGGATTGTGAACCTCAGCTTTGCCCAGGGGGCATTCTTATGGCCCCAGCATGGTTCCGAGAGATGGTTAAAGATCAAAAAGTGTGTTTCCGTGCAAAATTCGCTCTTTTCAGGATTTCGAACCCGATTTTCGAGATTTCCAGGATTTTTCAAGGCTAGCCAAAACAGTGAGCTCCAAGACCCCAACAAACACCAAACTTGGCACACACAGACCTTGACCAAAAACAAAACAGGGCAAAAAAAAAAACAAAAAAAAAACAGAAAAAAGTTCAAAAAACTAAAAAAAATGATCTACCATGCACTTTTCAAGGCTGAGGGGGTTAACCAGGGCTGAAAAATGGGGATCCCATTTAACCGCTTATGCAGTCCAGATACAGCCATCATTACCCGGCGTTCTATTCGGGTGAAGTCCGTAGCTGGCTAACAACCCTGGTTCTACTCTGATAAAATGCTGTTCCCTGGTCATGACTCCCGAGTCCCGGCCCACCCCTCGCACTCGACCAGCCCACCCCCAGCCTGCTAATGAAAAAACAATAGGATGAGACTACTCTTGCTGACCAAAACCATTGGGGCCTCACCAACGGCGTGTCTGCTGGAGGAAACATGTCCGGAAAATCCAACGGTGGCCACAATGACACACTGGGGTCGATCTGCATCCAATCATCAACGGTAGGTATACAGTTCTTGTGATTTCGATTTTGTGTCTACATAATGCTGCGTGCATTCACATCACTGTCATCCCCACTATTTCCTTCACCCGTTGCATGCAGCTAGAATTCTGTCATCATTGTGTGCAGCTTTACTTGTGTCTTTTTCAGCGCACTCCATCTCCCGTTCGTGTCTAGCTCCCTGAACCGTCTCTTCCCTACCCATATTCCTTTTGTAATGCCTTTCATTGCTGGTGATGACCGCTGACTTTCTTTCGTGTCAGAGTACTTCCTATACGTCAGAGAGAGAGAGAGAGAGAGAGAGAGAGAGAGAGAGAGAGAGAGAGAGAGAGAGAGAGAGAGAGAGAGATTGTCTCACTTCCTGTATCTTGGGAAGGGAGAACGGTTGTGAAGCTTTGTGTGGTAGATTGTCTTTCTCTCTGTCTGTCTCTTCTTCTCCCATTTCTTTTCTCTCGGAGAGCGGAACTGGGCCAACGACTGTATTTCAAATGTAGCGGTTTGACATTCGATTTCTAAAGGTTTTATCCTAGAGCAGAATTTAAGTCGTTTTTTTTCACGAAGTTGGCTAAATCGATACTTTTCACATTCTTCTGGTCGGTCAGTGGAAGTTGAAGTCAGTCTGTTGCAGATAGAACTCTCTGATGAACCATAGGGAGAAAGGGGGGGGGGGGGGGGGGAGAAGAAATGCGAGGACTGGGACATACTTTTTCCCACTTGTGACCCTGAGTAGTCATGCATTGTCCACGTAATCGATTCAATCATTGATGTGATGGTTGACGAGGCCGGGTTCACTTGAGAGCATCAGCGTAGTACGCGAAAAGTGACATGCACATGCGGTCGCAATTGCTTTGCTGATGGGTATGAACAGGATGCCGTAGTCTGTAGGTGGTGGCGATGCGTACAAATGACCATAACCAGATCAAAATGGCAAAAACGAAAATGACGCAACGATAAGTGAAAGTGACAATGGGCGAAAACGAAAATGACGCAACGATAAGTGAAAGTGACAACGGGCGAAAACGAAAATGACGCAACGATAAGTGAAAGTGACAATGGGCGAAAACGAAAATGACGCTTGCAAGGAGAAGAGGAGTAAAGAACATACTTTTTTTTTTTTTTTTTTTTTTTTTTTTTTTTTCAAAACAGGCCCTTATGGTCCTGGCTCCGTATCCAGGAACATACTTCTTATTAGTTTGATCATCTTTAGAATGAGTCTAAGTTCTAACTCAATTGTCTGTGCAAAGGCAAACTCCACAGTACCAACAGAGAGCTTCAACACTCACCTCCCTTGGCTTCAACACTCGACCGTAAGGCCGGCCAATAACTACGGTACTCACACCGGAAGGTCTTCGCGATGATCTCTTTCGTTGCTCCGGTACGCTATCACAAAGCGAGAGACATTTGCAAGATCGCTGACGACTTCGACATCTGTGAAACACTTCGCCGAGCCCTGATCGCCTCGCCATACAACACGTCCTTCGCTAACGGAACAAGAATCATGCCACGCCCACCTCCCGCTCAAAGTCTGCACATCTATTAGACGACGCTCCTCGTCATTGTTCGTGTCATCACCGAGCGAAGAGATGAGCCCTGTGCATGACATGGGTACATCCTTCGATTGTTCACGACCCTCGACCCACCAGTCCTCCGAACAACAGCGCAAGAACGAAGCTAGTTCTTCAGCCTGCTGACCCCCATTTGTCTGCGTTCCGACAGCAGGCCAACAGTGCACAGAATGTAAGACAGCAGTCGCAATGAATTGCAGAACATAAAAAGAGAACCATCCTTCCCTTCCCTGTTTCCTTATAATTTCTTGTATTCCTTTCTCCACCATCGCACCATCCAACTTGGCCAATACCTCCCACAGAACAGCTCCCTAGGTTGGATTCGAACCAACGACCTTTTGATGGATAAGGTAAGCAGTGTGTGTAATCCGACTAAGCTTCCCTCCGAACCGTGCGTGCAAGATTTCCAAGCACACGGCTCTCCATCAGTTTGGCTGCTTTGGCGAGACTACCGACTGTTTCCTATTTGTATCTGTTCTTGTTGATTCTCAACCCTCAACTTGTGATGAAGCATGTTCTCTTTGTTTTTGCATTGATAAGCTATATTCCGGTTGGTTTGTTTATACTTCTCGTCCTTTCTTTCTTTCTTCCTTCCTTCCTTCCTTCCTTCCTTCCTTAGTTTTATAGTCTGTTTTGTTTGGTTGTTCTTCGGTTTCTTCCTTCCTTCCTTAGGTTTGATATTCTGTTTTGTTTGTTTATTCTTCTGTTTTCTAGTTTTATAATCTGTTTTATTTGGTTGTTCTTCTGTTCCTTCCTTCCTTCCTTACACGTTTTTTTATTTTATTTTTTTCAAAAAGGGCGACGGCCTTGAGATATTATCATTGAGCAGACCGGCCCCGGGCAATTCATTAGTAGTTGGTTTTACTCATCATCAAGTTTCATCATCTGGATTCGAACACAGGTCTGCATTTCAACAGTTCATGGGTGTACCCACTGAGCTAGGCTCTTGGGTTCCTTCCTTAGGTTTTATATTCTGTTTTGTTTGTTTCTTCTTCTGTTTCTTCTTCTGTTTCTTCTTCTGTTTCTTCCTATCTTAGGTTTTCTTTTTTTTTTCTCTTTTTTTCCTTCCTTAGTTTTTTTTTTTTATTGCCTGTTCGTTTCTTCACTTCATTGCTTGCTTGCTTGCTTGCTTGTTTGCTTGTTTGCTTGCTTGCTTGCTTGCTTTTTTGCTTGTTTGCTTGCTTGATCGTTTACATCGTTGTGCATGCAGTGTTTTCTATGCTTCGCGCAATTCGGTTTATCTCATTCACTTCATGGTGAACTGATTGAAACATGTTAGATACCTTTTTTTTCTGGAAAAACAGGGTGATGGTCTTGAGACATCATCATTGAACTGACCGGTCCCAGGTAATTCAGAATTATCTTATTATGTTCATCTGATCGCATCTGGATTTGAACTTCGGTTTGCATTTCAACAGCGCGTGTAACCAAGTCCGGTGGCAATTTCATTAATATAACGAGTATTAATGACTTATCAAATTTATTTATATTATAAATCTACAATCTAATAATTATTATCTGGATCTGATTCGTTCGCGGCTGATTTGGTTGATCTGGTTGGTTCCCGTCGCTTCATGTGGCTAGACTTCACATCCCAGCAAATTTTACGTAAACATAAATAACAGAGAGCAACGAGGAAATTGTGAGGAAAGAACGTTTCTGTCCTGTTCTGGAAGGCAGAGCTTGCCTCTGAGAGAGCTGCTGACCAAGGCATCTTAGGAAGCCAGGTGGTGGGGGTTTCATCCGCCGTTCAAGCAAGACATTTTATTAGACAGGATGAGAAGAAAAAGGATGGGCCCCCGCCAAAGGCCTTGTGCATCTGATAACCATGCATGCATTGTCTACGAAACACCCCCGGACGCGTCCGCGGGGTCGAGCTTGGAGGGCGGCCGTGATCACGGCCGCCGCGGCTCCGGCCGCGGTTGGGTGCGGCCGCAACTTTCAGGGATTTTTAAATCATTTTTTAGACTTTAAAAAATTATCATTAAAAAAAACAAAAAATATGGGGTTGTAGATCTTTTCGAGATCTAAATAGTACATTGCACAATTTTTTATTTTATTTTTAGACTTCGTCTTCGAATTTCAAAAAATCAAAAACTAATTTTCGTGAGGCTAAAGCTGTTTTTTTTTTTCAAGAAAAAAAATGAAACTTGTGTTTTTTTTTATTTTAAAGTCAGTAAAGTTTTTGGATATGACCCCAAGGCAAAAGTTGTTCAGTATATTTTTCTGCATAACATTTTTTTTTTTTCAGAATTTTTTGAATTCTTTCGTCTTTTTTTTTTTTTTTTCATGGCCGCGGACCGCGGCCATGGCTGCGGGGCCACGGCCTAGGCCGCGCATGGCCGCCTCCGGGGGGGATTCATAGGGCATTGTTTATCCGCTATGCGTTTCAGACTCGGTTTCAATCGCGGTCGGAGTGCACATAGATTCACGAGTACCGGAGCGTGATAAGAATGCTGGGAAAGACTGACGAGACGTGACAATACATCGACTTTTTAACGCCGTTACACCTCTGGGTAAGCCCCAAATTCTCATCCTTTAAAACAAAACAAAACAAAACAAAAAAACAAATTCTCATCCTTCACTTCAAGCCAATTATTCAAGACGTCAACACAATTCCCCCATCACATTCCTAAGGGGAAAAAAAAAAAACTTGCGCAGTCTTCTCTCTGCATACCTCCAATGCGAGGAAACCTCCAGGTCGGAGCATTTTGGCTGCTCCCAGGCACACCTCCATCAGTGAGTCGATTCCATTACGCCCCCCTCCATCAAGAGCAAGTGCAGGTTCATGCTGCCTAACCTCTGCCTGAAGCGACTGAAGGTCGGCTGTCGGGATATACGGAGGATTGCTGACCACTACACCAAGCTTCCCTTCCAATTCCTGGAGAGGTGCAAACCATTTACCATGACGCACATCAACGCTGTCGTGTAGCTCGTACCTCTGAATGTTCCACGAGGCAACTGAAATGGCCTCGAGACTGCAGTCGACCGCATAGACCAATCCCCCCTTTGTTCGCAGTCTTGCCAAAGCAATGGCAATGGCACCAGACCCAGTGCCCATATCAGCCCACGGGTGACCCATCAACGATGGATTGCTTTCGACAGCCACTTCCACCATGTCTATCAGCTGCTCCGTCTCTGGGCGTGGGATTAAGACACCTGGCTGGACAGCGATGACAAGATCCCTCCAATGAGCTGCTCCCACCATGTATTGAAAAGGAAGTCGCTCTCGAATCCTTCTCGTCCACATAACCTCCAGGGAGTCGACGGATTCCCGGAGAAGAACAAACGACTGGCTCAGAGTCCCGAAAGCCGTGTCTTCCTCGGTACCCTTGTCTTCCTCGCCAGGCTCAGGAGGCGTTGCGGTGACCTGCTCTGACAAAACCCTTGATCCCATGACTAGGCGGACCGAGGGCGTTGTTGAATCACACTCGTTCTGAAGCGCGTTGAACTGATACCGATCTGCGATACTAAATGTGCTTCTCTGTTCGTCGTCACCGACCACATGGAGCTGCTCTTGCCACGTGCCCGGATCGGCCGAGGAGATGCCACCTGACAATCCCTCCTGTTCAAGCTTTCTTCTGAGTTCCTCCCAGCTGCAACTGCGCCACGGAACTTCGTCAGCAAGAACGTCTACGCTAAACGACTTCGTTCTGTCGACACCATGAGAAGTGAGATGGTCAATGCTGGACTCGTAGGAACGTGCCAAGCCAGCTGCGGCCACAGCGTCATCAAGCACCCAGTCGATTTCTCTCAAGAGTTCGGGCGTAGTTGGACCACCATCTGCATGGGCAAATGATTCGCCGACAGACTTTGCGAGCGAGCGTGCCCATCGAAGCCATCCTATCAATTGCTCAACAGGAGTTACATGAACCGGTGGCCGTTCGCACAGCGGACAAACTACTTGGATGCCTGGAGTCTTTCGATCGATATGCTCTGCGCGAGCTTGCAAGCTTGATGCCCCATCTTCCCCAAAATGTTTGTCATCCATACGACGACTGCCCACTGCAGATATCATTTTCTGCTTCGTCACAGTTGCATGGAAGTCCCTTCCTGGAGTCGAGAATCTTGATAAATCTGCATTTGCGCGCCAACTCAGAACCTGCTGTCTGGGCACGAATCGGTGTGAACACCTGTGATTGTGTGGATGTAAAGGAGCTAAACACCATGCAGCTTGCAGATTGACATTACATTGATGATGATATGATGCAAGAGCCTGCATGGCCATCGGTCTTAGACGGAAGCACTGGCAACAACTCTTCATTGTGGTCCCAGGTTGAGTGGAAGCATCCAAGTGGAATCTTAAGATAACATGGGTTGTATGAAGGTCATTCCTTTGCAGACGGAGCCATGGTGCACTGTTTCGCGGGCCCTGTTTGTAGCAAAATGATGATTGCCTCAGACAAGAGACCATCAGCATACGTCGTGAGCCATACAGCACCCTCCCATTCAGCCCCAACATTGCAGCAGGAGCTGCAATCGAAGCCAAGATGCGAGTGGAGGGCCGATTGTGAACCCGGAGGACAGCAGACAAAAGAGTCGCAGGCCAAGAGAAAGGCATTCAGTAGCGCACAGCTGAGGAATATAAAACTGCAGTGTGTAAGGGTAAGAAATGATTCGGGCAATTCTGGCTGCAATGGCAGAAGATTGCAAAGCAGGAAAGTAAAGGTCACAGATGATTACATATAGATAGGCAAAGCCATGATGAGAGATCCACTCCAAACTCTGACAATGTACAAAAACAAAGTGAAATGGCAGAAGCAGGCATGAGGGGGAAATGAACGATGCCCCTCAGCAGAGAGAGAGAGAGAGAGAGAGAGAGAGAGAGAGAGAGAGAGAGAGAGAGAGAGAGAGAGAGAGAGAGAGAGAGAGAGAGAGAGAGAGA